GGGGAACTGAAAATGGGTGAGATATACGGAACTATATTGCACTATGATAGATAGATACATACTATTTCAGCAGCAGAACATAATACAGTAATAAGTAAATCCCCATAATAACTCTTCCATTTTATCATAACATTGACCAAAAGATAATAAAAATTAAAATCTATAAGCAACTAAACAAACTGAATGAAATTGTAATTCTCTCCAAATGATGGTTAAAGTGCATGCTTTAAATTTATACAATATTTTTATAGTGAAAATACAATACAAAATATGATTTGAATATTTTTGAAAATATAAACCCACACCATTTACATGGAAACATATCAACATTTAATAACACCATAGCTATTTATTTCTATTTTCTACCACTTTAACTGACCCATCCTCAATGCATCATGGGAAAATGGTGTTGATTGATAAGTGGCCATTTTGTTTCCCATAATGCATTTGTGAGTGTCAAAAGATTCATTTTACATTGATATTTATGTGATGATAGCATCCTACAACACAATGTAGAGGTATAAAAGTTATACAAAAGTGACCTGTTTTGACCATGGACACCCTTCTTTGTTTAAAAGTGACCTGTATTTGTTGAAATCCTGCATGGATCATTCTAATATTTCAATCCAGGATGTTCATGGTTTTGACAGCCCCTCCTCATCACTCTTAAAGCATCACACCCTTCAATTTCCCCAAAACTCCCTTATGAAGGTCATTCAATATATAATATAAATTTGTAATACTAATCAGTATTTCTTGAACAACCCTCATATTTCTCATCCTCCACATAGGACAGAACTTGAGAGTAGTTAGATGCTTTTAAATTCATGGTTTAGTGTAATAATTGGTTAACTCTTTCATTACTGAATGCTTATATATGATAATAATTTACACTTTCCCATACATAAAAGTGGAAATTACATTCAAATGTAGCAATGAAAGAGGTGAATAAAAATCACAGTATACACAGAGATTCATCACATAATTATTAAGTATACTCTTTGATATTGTGACCAGCAATTTTTTTTATATAAATGACAACTATAATACTACAACAATACATGAATGATCAGATCATTCTAATGACAAACTAATCATTTATAAAACCAAGTACAGTATAAACTGTACCAAAGAAACTAGGCACAGTATAAACTGTATCAAAGAAACTAGGCACAGTATAAACAGTACCAAGAAACCAAGTACAGTATAAACTGTACCAAGAAACTAGATACAGTATAAACTGTACCAAAGAAACTAGATACAGTATAAACTGTACCAAAGAAACTAGGCACAGTATAAACTGTATCAAACAAACCAGGTTCAGTGTAAACTGTACCAAAAGGAAACACACATGCAATGGGTAACATTCAAATATGTATTTTCCATTAAACACATATGCGTAACTTGCATTGATATTTTTTTAAGGTACTATTAGCCTTTATTCAGCCACCTATTAAGCAATGTATTAACTATGTTAAAATATAGGGTGCCATCTATTAAAGGGGGAGGTAACCATTCCATATATAGCAGTATACAACAGCGCTATCTGGTGAATAAATGGGAGATTAAAGCAAGGTAAAAGATCTGTCAAAGTGTGTAAATATAATACATTGTGTATATACACGTACATTAGGTTGGACATTTAGAGCACACGCTACTATTTATTTGAAAGTATGAAGTTCGATATTAAGAAAAAAATACTTGGGACAACATAAACATTGAGAAGTGAAACACCTTCACCAATAAAAGTAAAGTTGTCAAATTCGATGTAAACGAGGGAAGATTTATATGACCATATATGGAACATGCAAAAGTTAGATAGTTAAATATACAGATATCATAAAAGCCGCTTATATGATAAAAGACATGCTTATATTGTAAGAATAATAATTTTGATAATTTCTCGATAATCTATGAATTTGAAAATCACGTTAAAGCTTTTATACAGCTTCACATGCAAGTGTTTTTCTACTATCTAATGAATATATCTAACGAGAAAAAAACAAGAAGTTCAAGGCCATTCATTATTTTTCAGTTAGAATATACAACACTCAAAATTGAAGATTAAATATCATAACATGAGAAGATACATATGTTTTTATACAATACAGAGAGATATCAATTGCTTTTTGGGTCGACAATTGAATTGTGTCAACGCTTTTCCCATTTACTTACTTTACTTTGCTAAATATACTGGGATTGATTGGCTGATTATTTTGTGCTTGTATATAGAACCCTGTCCCCTTTAATTGAAGGCCCTAAATTTTAACAAGGTAACGTTTACCATTCAGAATACATGTTATCTTACAATTTCGCCCATTTTTTGACAAATAGTGGCATATTCAATAATTGTTAGGAAAAGTGTCTGTTGTTCCAACACTGTTCCTATCCTGTCATCTGGAGCAAATATTCTCTTCAATCTGATTGGCTCATGGACTCTGATGCATCTTTTCTGCATATTGGGCAAGTGCGATTGGACTGAAAAGAAACAAAATATACATATAACTACAGTAAAACAATTTCAATTCACTGCATCAATTTTGAATGCACAGTACCGCAACTTTAGGAATTTAAAGATTTGTGTTGTTCCCATGCCAACTATTTTCTATTTTTCATATAATTGTTTATAACTTCAGATTAATGTTACATAATTCAAGTCAGGATAATCAAGTAAGGAATTTTGCTCACCTTCAGCCATTTATCGACGCATTTCGAATGGAACTCATGACAACAAGGCAGAACTCTCAACAGCTGCTTCGCCTCAAAATCGCACATGCAAACAACACATGATGTCTGATCGTTGATTGAACGCTTTGTATCAGGGCTAAATCGATAATTTGGGAGTTGTTCCACTTCAGTTTTTGTGAGACCTCTGGGTTTGGCCTCGCCTAGACGTTCTGCGAGGTTAAGGAGAGCCTCGTAGTTTTCTACCTCAGCAGCGTCAGTTTCAAGGTCAATGCCATACGGTTGCTGCCATGGCGAGTTACCCATCATTGCCCTGGAGAATTCAGAAAAACAACCAAATAAATCAACAACATTCAAATAAAAAAAAATTAAATGCTTAGGGGTATGCTAACATTTACACAGCTCTAACCTTACTACAATGAGGTCTTTTAAGAGGTAACATCAAACTATTGGAAAAGGATTTACCTTACACATTAAAAATAATTGAAAGCATAAATAATGATAATGATGCCAGAAGCATGTGATTTATATCAGCTTTTTTTAAAATATTTGTGAAATATGGCGATTATATTTAACTAAGTGGCTTGTTGTGAAATTTTCATTTTTCCTCTTAACAAAGCATTTATTAAAGTTACAAATTATCAAAATGTTGGTGGTACTTACAGGAAGTGTAGCAAGAACCCTGGGTAAGGAGGGGGTGGGGGAGGCACTAGATTTGTTCTCCATCTTGTTGGGTTACGTGCTAAACGTCTGCGATATTGGGAATAAGGCCCCTGGAGAAAAAACAAAAACAATGAAGTAGACAATTACAGAAAACAACTGAACTTTTTTAAATTATTTTTCCAAGAATTTCAAATAGGTGTAGATTTTAAAAATGCCTTAAGACTTTCAAAAAATGTACCACATAGACATTCAATTTTTATGATAACAAAAAGATAACATAAATCAAAATTATATTAATATTTTTTCAATTTCAAATTTAATTTTTCTGTTTACTGAACAAGTTGATTGAAAAAAATTCTGATGATTTTATGAGTATCAAAAATACTTACGAATAGGTCATGTGCGATGGGCACGATTGGTGGTTCCTGTAACAATACTGGGGGTGAAGGATTGAGCCCAGCAGCCTGATGGCCGGGCATACTGGGGTGAGAGGGAATGTAGGGGTGCCGGGGTGGCCGGTGTTCCGCAATTATCTGAACATCATCATCCTAGAATGAAAATACAATCAAAAATAAATGATCAAACTAAACAAACAAACAAACAATCAATCAACTTACAAATTTATTGTTACTGATTATTTATTTTTATTTTTTCTGATGAGAAACAGGAATATGTTTCTGGTAATATGTTTTAAATATTGAAATATTTTATACTATTTTAAACTTTTATTCAGATTATTTTAAACATTTTTGTAGTAGCTTACCTGTCTAGGGTGTGAAGTTGGCACAAAGTGATGTTGGGGGTGATGATGCTGAGGATGCTGATGTTGTGGTTGCTGTTGCTGCGGGTGTTGGTGCTGCGCTTGATGCTGTCCAGCCTGATGAGGATGTGGGTTGCTGTTATGTGGTGGCTGGGGTACATGAGGCGGAGGTGGTGGCAGATTGTTGGCGGCGAACTGTTGGTTCACTGGATTGGGCTGTAACATTGAGGGATGATACGAACCAGGAGCCATTGGGATCTGATGGAGCTGCTGTAAGTTGCATGCTGGGATATGCTGCATACTGCATGCTGGGATCATAGTGCATCCTGGGATACTCCATGATGGCTGTGTGGTGCACACTGGGATATGTGCCCCAGTGCATGCTGGGTGATGGTGTGATGCAGTACAGACTGGTACGGCGTACGGAGTGGCTGCATTCACTTGTGAGGTAGGTGGTAGCTAAAACAGCAAGTAATAATATTTGTCATTAATTCATTAAATAACCTTTATACTAATTAATTGCAAAAGCGTACAGTAAAATATAACTCATCAACAGATTACAATATACTCTGACATCTCAACACAGCTGAACCACTATATATATGTATTAATGCATTGTGGATTTGAAGATTCAGGAACAGAGTTCAGTTAGCAATTCAATCAAGTAAAAATACAGGCACGTAGCCAGGGGGGGGGGGGGTTCGATGGGTTCGACCGAACCCCCCCTGGCCAAAAAATCTTTCGAAATAATGCAGTTTTTCACCATTCTGAGCACTTTTTAAGTGATTTGGATATGTGCAGTGTACTATTGTTAGCCCTTGGTACATTATCTGAGCTAAAATGATGATGCCTAAAATGACTCATATTTTTTCATAATCTAAAACATCTGATATTAATCATGACAACTCATCATACAAGTCATTTGATTTTTCTTCCAACTTTTCGATTCATTTCATTCCTATTCACAAGATATGTAGTGATATTGACTTACTCTGTTCATATCTATGATGACAGGCTGATGGTGTGTTGTCTGGTGGGGTAGGGCTGCCGGGTGCAGGGGGGCACGATTGCCAGGACTTGGGGGTTGGAAGGCACCACGTCTCTCTATATGCTCTGGGTGAGATGGCGGAACATTTTGACGATCCCTGTGATTCCGTCGTCTCAAGGCAGGGCTGGAAATATAAAACGATACATCAATATCGAGACATACTTTTTGCTAAACTTACATAACATGCAAAACTGATTCTAGACCTGATATTACAAGGATGTATTATTTTTATATAAAAGGCATTGTTACCGATGAATAGAAAAAAGCTAAAATTGGGACAGGTATTACAAATATAACATGCATTTCTAAATCGATAATACACTTTACATGACGGAAACCATTAAGGCCAACATCTATTCGGAGGAATTTCTTTACATAAAGCCCAATAAAAAAGTCTAGACTATGTTCTTATATTGTGAGATATATCTCAAAATAGACACACTGTTCCAACTGTTAATATAAATAATATAAGAATATATTAAAAATAGATAAATGTTATAGCGACACTAATTTACCAGTAATTGTTTACAATAACGGCCAATACAGAAGTCTAGAACAAATATACATATTTTGGAGTAGAAATAATTACTAGATGATGTTTTCTATCTCATCACCTTAATATTACATTTCTGAATCATACAAACTGAAGTTTTACATGTGTATGTCCATTAATCATAAAGCTAGATTTTTGAATCGATTTAAAGTCTTAACATACAATTGAAGTGACCCCTATTGAATATTTATATGCTGAGATACTAGGTACTATATACATGTATGCTGATGCACCTGCTAACATTTTTCATTAATACCAGTTTTCTGAGATCCCTCATACCCAGCTCTCATTTTTCATATTAGATTAACTACATCAACAATCCTTAATTCCCATCTGCTTTCATTTTGTTTCAGAATTATACGAGGCCAATACAGTGTAACTTAAGCATGCTAGAATGCCCCCCCCCCCCCCCGTAAAAATTTCATTTTAAAACTAACTACAGGGTGACCCAAGCTGACCCACCTAGATACAGTAGGAACAGAACTACAGGTTTGATGGAACTGCTGTAACCACATGGAAAACTTCTGCGCTATATCCCACGTATTGAGCTGGAGCATATATGCCCATACTAAATACGACAATCGTGTCTTTTGATCCTCAGTGATATCACAATTACGATTCCGAATTTGAATCACTGTTGAAAACGCTGATTGGAACAGTGCTGTTTTATTCAAAATATGGAAGTCCAAGAATGTTCCGAAGAGATCAAACATGACTTTTTCTCGTGTTATTTTCAAATATTTTGATAGTCTTGATACCGACTGGAATATAAGTTCTAATACTGGACTTTGTAAAGATCTTCCCCTCCTATTGAAGACTTGTCGTCGTATCCAGGTGAAACAGTCTTGATAGTATTCTACATGGAGCTTTGAGAAATAGTTTAGAAGAGCTTCACCAGATTGAGCCTGCAAAAGATCTCGTGTACGACGCTGAATTTGCAGCAGACGGCTGAAATGATCCCGACGGTCTCCCATTATAGCGTTAAAATGTCACTATAGCGATGATTAATCAACGATTGAGTCAGTTTATCTCTGAAACCAGAATGCTAAAAAACTTCCCAAATACTCAAAAGCTAATGAAATATGAACTCCCAGTTTCCAGTCTTCTATGAATGTTATGTTAGTGTTTCTTATCTAAGTCCAGTTTCCTTCATATTAGCATTGTAACTTCCTCCTTATGTGGTATCTTCTTACAGAATGACTTGTGCACTTGTGGGATTTTCTTTGTCTACACCATGTGCTCTTTGTATATGTATAGATATGATCCTGTTTC